CTGTTTTCAAGCGTCTGAGAAAATTTTCCGACTATTATTCGTTGAGGAATATGCGAAACAACATTCTTTTGTGTCATTATATTGGTAGAACTGGTAGATACTAAAACGACAATAACGCAATATTCATTATTGTATGTTGAAAACAGCAGAATCTGTATCAGATATGTACTATCGATCATTGGATATTTTACTTTTCTCTGATACTCTAACATTTTTCTCGTAAAATACGCGAGCACTAGAAAGCATGTCCAACTATACGAATGGTATCTCCAAGAAATAAAGTGGAAAACAAAGATGACGAGTGTCGAATAGGTGTGGGTATGATTGTTAGCATAGGTATGAGTGCGAATGTGAATTTTTTTCCTGCTCCTATTTACACCAACACCTGAAGTCAGACTGAAAAATCGCTAGTAGCTTTCTGAACTTCAATACTATACATTTGTTTTTGTAAGTAGAAATAAATCGAGTGCCACCAGTTCCTTCAATGTCTGTTCGCAGTTTAAAACGTGCTTTTATAGAGATTATGGCATGTCTAGTGATTCTTGATATTAGCTGTATTCAAATTTTTAACCTTCATTCCAAATCTATTCTAAGAATTTATGGAAAATAAAGTAGAGATCCGAAAACCATTTAAAATTAATTGAAATTGATTGCAAAACAACAGAGAGCCTGAATTTTTAACCGGTTTTGGAGTAACTTTGAAGCCTTGATTTTATGTTTCATGAGTTTCGACTACAGCTTCATTTAAACGCGAAATTTAATCATACTTAGCATAACAAATTGGCGTGTAGGTAAGTGGTTATCGTGGGGATGGAAGACGATTATAATATCGACACTTACCTCACCTTCTCCTCATTCACCCTCACTCACACACTCAAGAACTTTTTCGACTGCTCTAAATGACGCCATAAGTAAGTTCAAGTGTTTTTGCTACCTTTAGACTGCGAATGTTCCTTGGTCAAAACAATAGAATTGTGGTATTCGGTAATATGGGGATGATCGTTTCCCAACGATTTTGAAGTAATCTCCAGTGCTTTTTCAAAGCATTGTACAGCAGATGAATAATTACACTGGTGAAAGTAGATTATGCCTAAATTACTGTAAGTAGTGGCAATAGCTTCCTGATTTTCTGATGCATTGTTCAAATTCAATTCCAAGTCTAATACTTTTCGGTAACAATTAAGTTGCTTCTCATAATTAGATATTCGATTGTATATGCTTCCCATATTATTATAAGTTTTGATTAATAGACCTTCATTCTTTGCTTTGTGTTTTTTCATAGTTTCCAACGCAATTTGGTAAGAATCCAATGCAGCTACATAATCTCTCTTAATGTCATCAATAATTGCCATATTATAATACACAGTCGATACCAATTCATTATCTGTTTCATTGATCAGTAATGCTTTATAGTAGTTGTACAGTGCCTTCTTATAGTTACGTTTAAGACAATAAATAGTTCCTATATTATTAAATATCGATGCCAAGAAATCGTTGCTGTCTAAAAAGAATTGTAAAGCATTTTTATAATTCCGAAGTGCTATGTTAAGGTATTTCCGATCATCATAAATCAATGCCAGACCATAGTAAAGTTTACCCATATTCGGATTAGTTGAAGAAGCGTATTTGAGAGCTCTTTGGTAGTTTAATATTGCCTTTTTATTCTTGTACCTGCAATAATTAATAAAACCAATATTGAAATATGCCGTTGCTAGATCATCCCAAGTAACAGTAGGATCTTTTCGTAAAATACGAAGAAATCGCGTCATATATTTTAATGCAGTTACATAATCGTGTTTTATCTCAAAAACTTTAACAATATTAGGTAACACTAATCGAATTGCAGTGTCATCGAATTCCAAACAATTTTCTCCAATTTCCAAAGCTTTCTTGAATTGAATTAGAGCATTAATGGCATCATTATTTACAAAATATAATTGCCCTAATGAAACATATATCAGGGCTAAATTTGGGCTCGTATCTGACTCATTACATTCGAGTATAAGACTAATTGCTTTTCTGTAGCACTTAATTGACAATCGAGAATTGAACTTATCTGCACAGAGTGTGCCCAAGCGGTAATATATATTGGCTAACGATTCTTTAATCGTTGAAAACTATGATAGATTAATTGCTTCTTTTAGATATTTCAAAGCTAATTTGTATTTTCCCTCACGTATATATAGTGATCCAATATTAATGCATGATGTAATGATGTCGGAATGATAGTTGGGTAATGATTTTAGATGAATTCTAAGTGCTTTCTTATGATAGAACAAAGCTGCGGTGAAATGACCGAGGCCACGGTAGCATTGTGCAATGTTACTATATATTCGAGCTGAATTAGGCTGATTGTTTTGAATAGATTTTAAAGAGATATCCAAAGATTTTTGATAATATTCAAACGCTTTTTCAAGATTATTATGGTGACCGTAAATACAACCAAGATTCCTGTAGGTGTTTGCTAGACTTCGATGATCATTAGCCAAGGATTTTAGTCTAATATCAAGGCATTTTTCAAAATTAGTTCGTGCAGAGTTCAAGCATCCCTTTGAAAAATATGTTTCACCAATATTATCAAAAGTTTTACCGAGATCTGGATGCATCTCTAAAGAACAATTGATTCGAATTTGTTTGGCTTTCCATGATAGTTCAAAGCCAACTGGTAGTTGCTCAAGCACATGTGAACAACACCTAAATTACTGTATGTCGTAGCAAGTTCGAAATCATTGTTGATAAGAATATTTTTTTGGATTTGAAGGGCTTTTCGATGATATTTAATTGACTGCGAATAATTGCATAGTTCTTTGTAAACATAACCGATATTGTTCATTATAGATGAGATTGAGCTGAAATCTTGTGGCCTTAATTTTCGACTGATCTGAAGTGCTTGTTTGAAATGTTTCAGAGCAGCTGAATAATTTCCCTCGAACAAACATATTTTGCCGATGTTTTTTTGCACATGTATTCTATCACAATGATCGAATGGAAGATCTTTGAGAATCATATAATTAAAATGTTTCACTTTGTCGATTTCATTCATGCTCAAAAGTAGATCGGTCAATATTGAAATTTCAGGTGCATTTTCAATATATGATTTCAAATTATCGACTGGTCCATTTAGATTCACATCGTTTTCATTGTTGCATAGAATAAGTTTTACATGCCAAAGTTGATCTGTTAGTGTTTCAACAAAAGCAAGATGAAAAACTGTTCCAATACTAAACAAAATTTCGTCTTTGGTTTTCGAATAACTATATTGTTGGATATGAGCAAATGGTTTTGTGAAATAGTTCATTATTGGACAATGAATTTCAAAGAAAACTGATTCTACTACTTGACGTCCTGATCCATTACCAGCAGAAAGAAGTGCAATTTCCCTCGATGTACTTGCAACAAGGAAGCTGTTCATTGAAATTCGACCTTTTATATTACCTTTTAGATTTTGTAGTTCGGTAAGGGTTAATCCTTGTCCATGAAACACAACTAGTTCAGATATCGTTGATTCATGTGATTTAAGTGAATTAATATAAGCACCATGTAATTGAACGAGGCGATCATGAAGATCAATTAGCACAAAACGAAATTTATACATAACAATAATATCCTTTTCTTTTAATGCTTTATTTATTAAACGATAAAGAAATGCATCTCGTGTATACCATGCAATTACATTGTCTGAATTGTAAGTATCCTCAAATTCTTGAATTTCGCCTAATTTTATGTTGTTGTTTGAGTGTTCCAGTCGACACTTTGTCAATAAATCATTGTGTGAAACAGATGTTGATGGGATACGTTTTAATACTTTAATTAATAATTGATACCACAAAAAAGAAGCTTGTTCTTTGTTCAGATTTTGCAAGGGTATTTCTCCAGTAGGAAAATTAAGCGATGGTACAATACTTATTGGAATTGTTCTCGAGTAAAACATGATCTCTTCATCTAACTGTACAATTAATTCATGCTTATTGGTAAAAATACCTTTAATTTTATCTGAATACTTCTGAGTCCATTCTTCATGTTTCTTTTTATTTGTGCTGAGTATGTAAATAGAAAAAATGTGTGGTTGTTCGTAGACAAGTGGAATAACTTGTTTTCCTTGTATACCAGATAACACGAGAATTATTTTTCTCTTATTAATACTATCCAGTCTTAAAAGATAACCAACAAAGGAATCAATATTATCGAACAGTTTTAAATAGTTTGCAATCAGGCGTAAACGGACTTTATGAACCAGATGATCATTGTTTTTAATACTAAACCATATTATTTCAATGCTTTCATCTTCGTAATTACAGGGCGATTTTATTTTTGATTTTTTGTTTCGAATAGTGTCACTGGGAGATATCTTCCGTTTCCGATGTTTATTAGTATTGATAACATCTGAAGTCTGGTCAGTTGAATTTAAGGAAGCATGCGGTTCAGTTATTTCTAAAAGATGTTTCTTTACCTGTGTATTAACATGAAGGGATCGAACTTCAGCTGATCGTTTTCGTCTTTTTCTCCTAAATTCCGACATTCTTAAAAAAAAAATTTACATAAATTAGTCCATTTGGTTATTAAACAGGCACAGGAGCAAATTATGAGATATCAACAAGTACCGATATAGCTTACTTAGTTTATGTAAATCTCTTTAAAAGAAATAGTATGCATGGATAGATACATATTCTCATTATATACTAGTGCTATCACCTATTCACTGATGAATATGGGTGTGGGCGTGAAGGTGTTAGATTCAATAGCATCACTCACACCCACATCCTCACACCATCCAAAAAAAGAACCAATCGAAAAATCATGTCATATAGTACGGTTCTTTCTTACATATTTCGTACAATTGCAATGCATTCAACGATCTTTCTCCGCACATTGGTATAGTGCCCACACCATCAAGACGGAGCGATGTAATTTGACGAGAATGTAACTGTTATTTATTCTTTTCTGAGATGCATAATTATTTGCCTTCATATACACTTTTTCTTTTTCCTCAAGTATGCTGGTAAAAATAAGAACGCAGAAAAAAAGTGACTAATTGTGGACGGATGTCAGTGTTGATAAAAAGAAGACTGACACAGTTAAAGACACTAAGTGAATTTTGAGCTACTAACTTCACTTACCTTTTCAAAAAAATTTGGAATAATAGTTTTGTTTGTGGCTGTTAATATTAGAGCTAATTTACGTAAGCCACGACCGATGTCTGTAGTAAAGATAAGTTCCACATGCTGTAACGTACACAAAAAAACCATTGGTATATGTTGCACAATCTCATCAATCAGAAGACGAATTCAAAAGAGGGCGTTCATTGACAATATTTTATTTTTTTAAATGAAAGATCTTTCCATAAAATTACGTTTGATAGGTTATCCTTTGCGAGTTAGACGCATAAAAATCATTCTTTATATTGTTCTGATGTAAAACAGTAAAAAAATATTTAAATGAGATAGATTATAAAATAACTGAAAATACATTAAATCAATAGACTTTTAATTGATTGATAATCAATTATTAGAATTTGATGTCAATCAAAAATAAACGTAAATATCGAAATTTTGCTGATCATTTTGTCTTATCTCGTTTATAATCGAGTAGAAATTGATGAAAAAATTTTTGTTATAATTAATGAGAACTAAAACAAAGTTATACATATCGACTACCATTCATCAGCAGGTAACACTAATTCAAATGCGACTTTTTTTATGTAATTTTTAATAGATATCAATAGAGATTCAACAAAATAATCGAAAAAATTTTAATGTTTTTGATTCATTTTGATCGAAATTAGCTCCTAAACGATTGATAATTATATGAAAGCACTTCATTTCATAATCAATTTTGATCGAAATCTCACAGATGTCATAATACCCATAAGCTGGGTAACGACAAGTTACACGTCGAGATATCCAACGAGATGGATATCCAAAAATTGTGGAGGTACCCGAAAAGTTGAGCAATTTGAGTGGATTTTGTGTAACGAGATGAATATCCAAAATTTTTGGAGGGTATCCCCAAAACTTGAGCAATTTGAGCGGATTTGGTGTAACGAGATGGATATCCAAAATTTTTAGTGGGTACCCTCGAAAGTTGAGTAATTTGAGTGGATTTGGTGTAAGCGAATGAACATCCCAATCTTTGAGTGGGTATCCCTCAAAAGTTGAGCAATCTGAGTGGATTTGGTGTAACGAGATGGATATCCAAATTTTTTAATGGATACCCCGAAAGCTTGAGGAATTTGAGTGTGGGTGTGGGTGGGGATGGGGG